GGCATGCCTTTTCATCCAGACCTGCTTTTAGAGTCCTTGCCCTCACCTGAGGGATGCGATGGATGCACTGCCGGATCCGTCGCCTCCTCCATCCCATGCCACCAACCAACAGAAAATGCATCCCCAGAAAGCCCTAGCAGCAGATCCAAGCTTGGTAGTTTCCCCCCGCTGTTGCCATATGATCCTCAGTGGAGCAGCAGCCAAGTCTGGGGAACCTGCTTCCAAAGTGATGCTGCAAAATGAAGGAGGGGGGATGTTTAACCCAGACCTTGCAGAGGGTAACAAGTTGGCTGTTCTATGGAAGGACAACAGCATCCTCACTGGAGAGGTGGTTGCCTGCTGGGGGACACCTGGGAAGCACAGATGCCTCCTCCAAGATTTAGCTGCTTGCCAATAGCAATCCTTCTTAGAAAGGAGACAGGGCTGGGGGAAACACTGTGGTCTGCAGCTCCCCACTGGAGTGCCCCGGGCCCATTGCCCAGCTCCCTGCACCCCCACCACGTCCCACCCCTCCTGCCCAGTACCCCGGGCACCCTCCAGACAAAGCACCCACCTATTTGCCTGTCCATCCGCCTGTGCAGAGCCTGCCGCGCTCCCAGACCCTTCCCCACCGTGGTGCTGACCCTCGCCCCATGCTGAATGAGCTCGCAGGCATTAGCCGTGTATTTCTACATGCACTACAGAGCACGTAATTTAAGTCTCTCATAAAAATCATCACTGCCTCAATTATTCAGCACGCTTGCCCTACTGCCCAAGCTCACTTGCTGATGTTTCCATGCTGTTGAGATATCAAATTGTTTGTTGTATAATTGGCATTGGTTGCCAAGACCCAGCTCCTACTTCATAACACATGTATGCCTGTATTCCTACCACCTTGTTTATACATGATGGATTTTACGCATGTGCAGATGCCAGTACACGATACAGCTGCTTCGTAGATGGTCTGTAACATGAATTTCTGAGGCCAGCACATGATTCAATGCAGTTTGGCAGCTCCACTTGCAGTAGCCTGCTTGTGCAGACCCTTGAACGATGCCGAGATGCGTACCTGTGCTTACATGACGCCCTGCGCTGGTTCTGCAGGCAGGATGGCAATGCCAGACCGGCACATGCCCATGAGCACCCAAATTGGGTGCTGGCTGCCAGCCCAAGTGGGGTGCCCTGCCTGCTGTCGTCCAAGGGGAGAGCTGGCAGCAGGATGGTCCCAAGACTGAGGGGCTCCCACCCCAGGTTGGGGACAGGTCCCAGAGGTGGGGATCTCCATCCTTGGGGGTTGGAGGAAGAGTGATAGGCCAACACAACTTCACACCAGCAGCAACGCTCCCGTCTCCTCGCCCACCAGCAGGGACCCCTCCTAGGGCCAGGGTGGAGGAAGGGCTGGCTCCGGCTCCCCCTCGTCCTCTGCCTGAGCTCACACCCCCAGGCTGAGCAGCTGTGGGCAGGGGGCTGCGTGGTGCCACCCATGGCAAAGTGTCCCACATGGGTCACGGTGGGCAGGCAGGACCAGAAGCCAAAGTGCAGGACTCCCTTCGGGGCAGTCTCAGCAGTGTCCAACTGCGAAGCAGGTCGTGAACCAACCTGCTCAGTGACCAACGCAAGGCCAATTTTTAAATCATGAGGATCTAGGGAAGTCCTGGTCCAAGCCCAATGCCTGCACCAGGCAGAACTGCACAAACCACCCTAAAGAGCAGAAACAGTGGATGCATGGAATAACACAACCTATGGGAAGCCAGGAGACACAGGGGACACAGCTACTGGAATTATGTACACATGGGCAAGGGAGATCAACTGACAGCGGCTGCTTGGTCTAAGGATGCCAAGGTGCAGCAGGATAAGGGGGAAGGTCTTTGCAGGGGTAAATCGCTGGTTACAAAGATAGGGAATGGTGGGTACGAGCAACAGGCAGTTTTCATCAGGGAGCTCCACAGGGATCAGTGATGGCAACTGCATTCTTCAACACAGTCATAAATGATCTGGAGAAGGAGAGCGCAGCGAGGTGGCACGGTTTGTTGCTGATGCTCACATCAAGGAAGCAAAGACAAGGCTGAATCAAAGAACTGCAGAAAGATTTTCCAAGGCTGACTGAGGGGGCCCGAAAAAAAGAGGCAGATGAAATGCAGTGTAGGCAATTGCAGAGCGATGCACTGGAAGAACCCAGTCCTGCAGCCCTGGACTGGCCGTTACCACTCAGCTGCGAGGCCTTGGCACTGTGACAGACCGAGCTGACCTTTTGTGGAGCTGTGTCAAGGATAGGTCAAAAAAATAAAAAAAGCAAAGTTAACGTTGGGAATTAGGAGGAGGGAAAATTGGAAGCAAGATCCAGCAAGGGTTATTAGGTACAAGAACAACATCTCTGGCTCAAAAAATCCCAAGACACAGACTGTGGGAGGTTGGAAAAATGTGTGACAAAGCATTGCTTGAACTGGTTTGCCACTTCTATTAGGCTGGTCACCATCAGCAACAGCATCTAGGGCTCACCCCAGGTCCCTGTGGCATCCCCCGCATAGCTGAAGCAGCCTGCTTTGCAAACTAAGCAATGCAGAGCATCCCAAGTGTTCACTTGGAGCCCACCACCAACATCAGGCATTGCAGGCAGGGGACCCCCTAAAGCAGCACAAGCTCTACCTTTACACAGAGGACCAAAAGGCAGGTGGAGGAACATCAACAGCTTTGTAAGAGTTAAGTGCTCTTCCCATAGTAATACCTCCCTGCTCCCAAACCACCAACAAATGGGTTTATGAAACAGGTGGCGGTTGTTTTACTGAGGAAAGTGGAAGGTGTTTAGATTAACCTTCACATTGGTGAACAGTGATTAAACATATCCAGTACAGCTGTAAACATACTCAGATTAAACATATCCAAAATAGCTGTAAACACAGTCACGTCCCCTTGGCCTCGCGCACAAACACTGCTTCCAGCGAGGAGCTGCCAGCTGCATCTCCGGGCTGTGGTGCCACTGACACACTCATAAACCCATCAAACAGTGGCCAGGCTTGCAGCCCTCGCAAGCTGCGGGAGGCATTGATCCCCCCGCAGCCCCGTCCCAGTGTGGGGATCTGAGCAGCCCCCTCCTCTCTGCTGAGCCGACAGAGCCTGCGGAGAGTGGCGGGCCGGGAGCAGCAGCATCCCCCAAGGAAGCAGCTCTCCTTCTTGCCTCCCCACTCACACATGTTGGTCTCTATCCCACAATAACTCAAACAGTGCCTGGTAGAGTGAGACAAACCACACATTTAAGTACAGATCAAGTTTTCAGCTGCGAGAACAATCTGTCCTCATGGCTCCTTCTGCCGTCTGTCTGTCCATCCTCCCAGGCTGGCTGAGTGTGGGACAAAGGGGTGCATGCACTGGGGCGGTTCTCTCTGCCTCCATCTCCTTCCCCTGGGAGGATATCCTGGCACCATCTGCCTTCACCTACCCGGGCCCTGACATTTGTTCCCTTCCCAGCAGCTTCCTGTTTGGGATATTCCTTTGTCTCAGCTTCCTCTCCTACTTGTGCCACTGAAACCAAGGCGACTGTCCCGGGAGCATCAAGCAAACAAGCTGTCGCACGCCACTCTTTGTGGGGTCAACATCCTCCACGGCAAACTACATCCCACGTACTTGTCAAGCGGACCTGCTGGCTCACCGTGCCGGGCAGCAAACCCACTATGGCAGCCTCAATGCCACCAGAGACCCCACCACACGGCTGTGGTTCCCACCAGGCACACTGACATCTTGCTGCCTGTCTCCCAGGCCACAGTTCACTCAGTTGCAAAGAGAACCTGCTCTAGATTAAACCACAGAAATCCTCACTTTATGAACACTGAGCACGAGGTCTGGATCCCACCACTGCAGCCACCCACCCTCATCACCCTGGGGCAGCACAGCAGCCCCTTTGGTACCATCAGGGACAATCACGGCTCCCCACACGGGCGGGGATGATGAGCCACACCAAGCAGATACAGGCGGGCCTATACAATAATGGGAGCAGTTCATGTATAAATCACAGTGAGTTCAAACAGGGTCACCAACACACCCCGTCTGGCACAAAACACTGATCGTTAAAGCAGAGAGAAACCCTTAGATTATATTTTTATGCATCCTACTTGAAACCAAGTGATCTGGAAAATCCCAGAGCATTCGGATGCAAAGGTCTAAATCTTAATGATGCTCCTGGCAAGGCTCTGTGTTTTGTTTGCACTATTTAACAGCTTCTTCATAAGGAATCAGTTGACTTGGTTAAGGAAAAAAGCCACCACAAAAATCCTCACCCTGTTGTTCAGCTGATAGAGCTCCATCAGCGACATTGCTCTTGACGCCAGTCCCAATTTGGGTTGCTGGAGCTCCTGCACCCAGCAAGGCATCTGGAGCGGGTGGAGAGAAACCACAGAGCCGCATGCTGTGACTCCGGCTGCTCGGGTGCCAGGAAGGGACTGGCCTCAGGGAACTGAAGGCAACCATTTATTTTTGCATGTTTTTGGAAACACTTCCTTTAGCATATAATGCATTTTTCTCCCATCCGTGTATCTTATCATCCTCAAATATTTAGTTTTTTTACCACAAGTCTAACTTTGTTACATAAATTTGTGCTTAGGAACTGTAACCTATTTCAACACATTTTTTTTCTTCTTTTTTTTTCATGGATGGAGGCAATGCTTTTTAACACACTCTGAGTGAGAAGCCCAGCCCTGACAACTGATATGTGGCAGAACCGGTGGCTTGCCCAGCACTGTTCACATGCCCTCCCTTCGCCGCTGCCTGCGAGGCAGGGGAGACATCCCAGCAGCCTCAAGAAACCAGAGGAGTTGGGATTTGCATGTCAGGCATCTGCCTCTGGCGATGGCTGAGCTGCTGGTGTGCCAGGCCAGGTCCCCAGGTGCCACCCCACCTCAGCACTGCTTCCACCCTGGATCGCAGCTCTGCAGCTCCCGGGGGGGGAGCAACACTGCCTTTCGCAGAGAAAATGGCTGAACAGGATTAAATTGCTCATCAAAATGAAAACACAAAGCCAGGTTTAATTCCTCACACTGAAGCAAGCCAGGGTTCGGAGCAGAATCAGCAGACGCCTAGATAATTATCACGTTGGGGAAGAGTTAGGATTGCAGGGCATGATTTTCCCTTGGAAGGAAACGGTAAGCATGGAGATAAGGGTGATCCAATTAACCAGGCTTTATGTGGATTCCAAATGGCATGTGGCAATGCTCTTAAGCACTTAAAGAATGCCCAAAAGCTCTTAAGGAAACTGAGCTGCCATGGGATAAGAGGTAGAGACCTCCCGGGATTAGTAACTGGTTAAAGGTCAGGAAACGAAGAGCAGGAGCAGGACTGCCTCTCTCAAGGGGGGACACTGGTGGAGCCCCTGAGGGTCTGACCTGTCCTACATCTCCCTGAGCAGTCTGGAAAAGGCCAGGACACAGCAGGGCGATGACACATCCTGGCAGGACAGACACCAAGGGTAGTGAAAGCAAAAAAAGCTCCTGCAAAAAGGCTATGGTGAAATCCATGCTTCAGGGCAGGGACATGTGGCTTTGTGCTCAGCGGCAAAGGCTTGATCAGGTGATGCACCTCGCCCTTCTCTTGTGCAACATGTGGATGAAAGGAGGAGTTGCTGGTGCCAGTCTCATCTGGTTCCAAAACTATCAAGCAGCTCAAATTCGCATGCGGTTGTATTTCCTCAGGTTCCCTGCAGCTGCTCCTGCTACATCTGCAGGAACCCATCTTGGGTTGGTTTCAGATGTACCCGTGCTGTAGATAAAGGGACAAAGAAACAGGTATGAGTGTGCAAGAGGGAGGAGTGGCAGAAGGTCACAAGCGCTGGGTCTCTGCTCTGCCAGACACATTCAGTTCTGCCCCTGTCCCTTCTGGACTGGAAGGAGCAGGAGTCACTGTAGCTTGAACCCTTTGGAGCTCCCTGAGCACTGGGCCAGCCATGCTCCTTGCAGTGGGACTGTCGAGGACTGTCTTCATGGCTGGAGGGAGCCCGTTGTCCAGACCAGTCCCCAAGCTGAGCACTGCAGCCACCTCTCTGGCAAGCTGCCCCAGGCAGAGCACGCAGGGGCAGGGATGGAGGAAGGAAGTTCAGCGCTACTTGCTGTTCAAAGGAAAAATCTGGCTTCCTTCCGGGATCTCCGTTTCCACGAGTCACTGTGCTCCCTGGGAAGCTGACCGGTACATGGTGGAGCTGGACGGGTGTCCAGGTCACAGGGAGGTGACCAGAACCGGGGCTGCAGCAAGGACAGACAGCCACAGCCAGGATGAGTCACGGCCCGCCAGGTCCCAGACAGCTGCTCCTGTGGGCTGGCGTGTGACTCAGCTCATGGAGCAGCTGCCCCTGCTCACAGCCCGTCCTGGAGAGATGCGAGGTTAGTGAGGGTGAGGAGTTCAGGTCTTTTTTGTGAGCTGGGAGTCACCTCCTCACCCTCAGATAGCAAATCTACAGACGCACTGCCAGATGAGTCTGCAGAGGTTCAAGGCTTGACGTGCTCCTAGGGACAGACTGACCAGCGGCTGTGGTGAAGGCTGTGGATGTGGTCTCCCTGGACTTCAGTAAGGCCTTTGACACCGTCTCCCACTCCTGGAGAAGCTGGTGGCTCACGGCTTAGACAGGTGTACTCTGCGCTGGGTCAAAAACTGGCTGGACGGCCGGGCCCAGAGAGTTGTGGTGAATGGAGTTCAATCCAGTTGGCGGCCGGTCACGAGCGG